TTTTTTCCTTGATTTAATAACTCAGTAAACATTTTCCTAACCAGTATATGGTTTCAATCGCTTAACTCACTCCAATTGAGTGTAAAAAAGGAGACTCCACCAGGTCTCCACCAAGGTTTTGAGTTCAAGTGCTGTCCACATTTCAGTGCATGAAAGCTCATTCTAACCTTTTGGTCAACTGGAAATGTCTTGTTCAGTGTTTGGGTGTACCTTTTGTGACACTTAAGGTTCCAAAGAAACAACAGTTGCAATTGCAGCCTCATGAATGCAAATACAATAATGAGTTTTAACTTTGTCAAACAGCCAGTGTGTACAAGGTATAGTATTTTGGGTGATCTATTAGAGGAAATGGAATACAATATTCATGACTATGTTTTCATTAGTGTACTTGGTGGCGTTTGACACGGCAAGTAACAGTTTCCTTAGCCAGTTTCCTTATAACTTTGTTACACACAGGACAACATACAAAAAGCATTGCTAGCAGCTAGCTAGCTGGAACTAACACAACCCAGTAGGACTGTAGCTGATCAGTATCAAAGATATTATAATGGATGTGTTTGAGCATTTACAGCTACGTAACATGTGTGTAATGCATGGTTTTATTAACACAGCAGTTATCTAATGCAGTACTACTTGAAAATTGGAATCTTGAATCTTAAAAAGGATAATAGCAAATTACGATTTATCACAAATGTATTCGACTCTGACACACACAAAAACCTACACAAAGATAGTAATGTGGGTCTGCTGCTGGATAGTAATGAGTCAGAATGCTTATATTATTTTTTTCCCTTTCCTTTAGTAAATCTTTGACCACGGGAAGCAGTATGTCTCCATGTGTTGTGCATTTGGCTAAAAACACTTACATTTGCTTCCTAATAATATGGTTTATGAGGCCAGTTTGTTCGGGCCTGTGTTGGATGTTTCCATTTTAAACGTATCATTAGAGCCTGCTCCCTCCACATTTACTATCTCGCAGCAAAGCATGTGTTTAAAACGTCAGTGTTTCCAACAGGACCGCATGACATGAGGCTGCACTTCAGCACGGGGAAGAGTGGGGGAGGGGAGGGACACGCAGAGAGAAGGAACTGCTCTGTGATGACAGACAGATGCTCGGTTTCATGCACACACACACACACACACACACACACACACACACACACACACACACACACACACACACACACACACACACACACACACACACACACACACACACACACACACACACACACACACACACACACACACACACACACACACTTAGCTCTTTTGACACATCCAGCAGATCGCAGATCAAATTAAATCAAAGTGCACAAGTGACGCAGATGCAGATATTGACTGATGTGATTTTCAGATTTCTTTAGAATGTCACCAATTGTACTCTACTTTGACAAGTCTTATTCAATTAACACTAGTCAATTGAAGGCCAAAAATGACCATATTATAGGAGTTATATATAAGAGTTACTTGTATTTAACAATTCTTCATTGAGGTCTATTTATACACATTTACATTGCTTTGCATGTCTTTGTAGGTCTGTGTGTACATCTTCTTAATGTTTTGCTCATCACTTTTGAATACATTTTTTATAAATAGTAATTGGCTATTATCCTTTTGAAGATTCAAAATTCCAATTTTCAAGTAGTATTTCATTAGGTAACTGCTGTGTTAATTGTTAGGGAATAATTTGCTTAGGTATTCAACCTTCGACCCAGTTCATCGTTTTCTCTTTTTACTGTCTCTTTTCCCATGGCATAGGTCTACGGCCTTGGGTATTGCTGCCATCTCTCTTAAGGAGGGGCAGCGGGGCGCATTGTTGTTGCCAGCTTATGACCGAGCACAAGCTGACATGAGATAGTTTATTGTTCAGGGACATCTAGAGGCCCTTCTTTTCTCTGGAACGTAGGTTCCCTGGCGCACATTATTTTCTATGGACGACAGCTCTAGTTAGATTCAGGGTCCATATTTGTTTAGTCTCGCTGATGAAGAATGTTGATTATTACACTCTGAACTAGTTCAAACCTCGAGCTACAGAAGAGTTCTTCAGAATTGATTGTGGCATCTCAACCGTGTGGTCAAACCGTGGCCCGTGACATGTCTTGTGAATTCTCCGGCCGAAGCTCCAAATAAACCGTCAGTGTTTGCCATCAAAGCTCCAGCTCTCCTCGTGTCTCTCTTGCCCCTTTCACACCAACGCGGTTCCAGGGCCAGTTCGGAGCTGGAGCTTGAAAAGCACCGTTTTTTCCTGTTCACACCGCAGCGGAGCCGCCTCTAAGCTCCGGAATCCGGTTAGTTTCAAGCACCAAAAAGTTGTCGGTCTAGAAAGCAAGCACCGCATACGTCACGCTTACGTCGGATCTGGGCTGTGTCCAAATAACACGCGACATCCGCCTTTCCGCCAGCTTCAACATGATCTGTGGAAATAACATTGAGAATCAGTTGTAATGTTATACCATAGTAATTAATGCTGCAAAGCTGGGTATTTTGAGCTTGGCGCATGCAGAGGCTAACAACAGCTAGCTCTAACGCCATCGAATAGGACGTATATTTACCTTCTTTCTCCTACGGAATCGTCGTTGAAGTTGATGATGATGATGATCATTGTAAAGAACTTTTGAATGTAGCATGTAACGACTGTAAAGTTGGTAGTAAAGTCGTCCCATTTCTTCCATTTCGTTTCGACAGAGCAAAACGAGTAGCGCTTCAATACAATCGGCCATTGTTGTTGTTGTCGATGTGAGGGGTTTCCGTGCGGTTTGGCTTTATGAAGCAGGCACACAAACGGTTACGGCATGACGCAATGACGCAGCACCAGTCGGGCTCTGATACCCCATTCACACCAACGGTGTTTCGGGGCCAGTTCGGTGCTGGTGCTTGAAAAGCACCGGGTTTTCCTGTTCACACCGCAGCGGAGCAGCCTCTAAGCTCCGGAATCCGGTTCGTTTCGAGCACCAAAAAGTTGTCCGTGTAGAAGCAAGAACCGCTTACGTCGGAGGGGGGCGAGATTAACCTGAGATAACAGTTAAGGCGAGTACGGCAAATAAAAGTTGTAACCAGCAGTAGTGCTGAGCAAAGTGACTAGAACGCAACCACACACTTGTAAAAAAAAAACACGCTTTATAAAGTCAGGCAACACTAACCAGGCTTCGTGTGATTCTGTTTATTTGTACCTTACTTTGACCATCCGTTCGCTGTTATTGATCATTGTGGAGAGCAGGCAGACGTTTTGTTTGTTATTATAGCAGCTATCGGATGGAATCAATACATGGGCTGCACAGGTTGTCATGTCCGACTATCACAAGTAGAATCATAATGAAAAATACGCCGGTAAAAAGTGCCTGTATAAAACGGCTTAGCAAGTAGTCAGTTTAGCTTCGGTTGCTATGCTAACATCACCCATGTTATACCAGAGAAACTTTCATAACAGCGTTGTGATGCCAAACAGCGTCAATTCAGACTGACACACATTCACTTAAGGGGAACTGGGGATATGTATCAGCTGCTTGTGTGACAGTCAGACAGTGAATACTTTAGAGCCGTGTGAGCTAACCCGGAGCTAACGGGAGAATACACTCCCGTGGAAGAGCAGCCAGCACTGCAGCGGTCGGTAAATGCCGCTGAAACACATTAATAAACAATGAACCACGGCACTCTGGAGAAAAGTATAAGGTTGGAGAAGTCGTTATTTAATTTAATCTGGCTTCGTATGATTAAAAGCAACGCAGTCCCCGGCCCGTTGTTATTGTGAGGTGAGCTCCGTTGGGGAGAAAATCAGCGACGTAAACTGTGACGTCATGACGCAGCAGCGGCAGCACCAGTCGGTCTCTGAGCGGTGTGAAAAGAGCCGGAGCTAAACCGAAGTACCGGTTCCGAACCTGAAAAGCTCTAGCACGGAGCTTGAACCGGAGTTGCGTTGGTGTGAAAGGGGTATGAGCGGTGTGAACAGAGCGGGAGCTGAACTGAAGAACCGGTTCCGAACCTGAAAAGCTCTAGCACGGAGCTAGAACGGGAAAAGCCTTGGTGTGAAAGGGGTATTTGAGTCCTAACTCCAATTGCTTCATAAGTTTCCCCCACATTAATAACAACCTTTATTAAATCGGTACATACGTTACAAAGCTGTCAAATGAAATGCTCAAACCCATCCATTATAATATCTTTGATTTCTAGCTAGCAGCTAGCAATGTTATTTAAACGTTTCTTCATTAATGCCTCCATTGACCTTCAAGGACGCAAAAGCATCAGCTCAAAAAAAGCTTACCCACTGTGATTTGATTGTTGGATTTTCTTTGTGAACTTGCAAAGCCCACTTTCTGACAATACAGTAAAAAACATCTTATGTCAAGGTTGTTCAATTATCCATTGCTGCTCCTATATACCAGACTAATGTTAGCCTAGGTTAAGCACTGCTGTTTCAGTTTTGGTGTGTAAAGTTACTGGAATAACAATCAGGGCCCACACACTAAACCTGACCATTAGTGTGTAATAAGAGCAGGAAAAATGTCCATTCACCAATTAAACTATTGACAGAAAAGTAACCAGCATCTATTGAGATCATGTTTCCCCCAGAAGTGCCACATGTTCCCCGGGCCCAGCCTTGAGTTGTCTCAAATGTATATATCTAATAAAATACGTTTGTAAAGCTATTAAATACCTAAACAAATCTTAATTCATTGCTTAGTGTATACATTAAGTGAATGGTCATCACAGATTCCCAGGGCCTAAGGTGAACTCTTAAAATGTAGTTTGAAAGCGGCCCATCACTACATGAAGCAGCAGATTACAGGCTGTGTAAGAATAGGTCACGCAGCACTTCTAATTAGTGATAAGGCCGAGTCCCCCCCCCCCGTCTGACCAGCACAGCCTACACTCAATAATTAGGGCACTGTGATAATCCCCCCGCCTCCGAGCCGCTGTTAGGAAGCGGAGAGGTCAAATGTTCACAAAACTCTTACACCTAAACAATCCTCAGCAGCAGGAAGAACGGGAGACGCCACGTCAAGATACCATTTTTATTGGACTTATATAGAAATACTTAAAAAAAACATGAAGTAGCACCATTACTTAAAAGTCTTACTTTTTATCATGTATAACTTTAAATGTCAGAAAAATAAAACTCTTGATACATTTTCAAATCTTGTCTCAGCAAATATAATATTAGTATTTGACCATGAGGTTAAAGGCCCTTTATCATAAAATAAAATATACTTTGTTCTTAAACTTTGCTCAATAAAGTACATTTACGCTCAAGTAACTTCACCACATATACATAAACAAGTGGTAAACAAATGTATTAAAATAGAAATACTAAAACTATAGTGGTGCAACAGAAGCCTGTAATTCCCACTGGAATCTAATTCATACAAATTTTAGAAAGCATAAACCGTTTCTTTTTGTTCAACTTACTAAGTATTGTACATTTCAATGTTTCATAATAATATAGAATAAAATATGCTTTATATTACTGAATAAAAAATATGCTGGGTGAAGCAGATTTAAGAGACATTTTTTTGCTGAACCTATAAAAACTCCATCCCAACAGAATACTGTCAAATGCAAAAAAGACATTGTGTGGACCGGACTTCATCCCACAGTCGTGTGATATTAAAATAATACAGTGATCAATGCCATAAGGCCATACTAAAAAATAAACAATATTTTAACCCAGCTACAAAAAGTTCACTGAACTTAAATCAAAATATCTGTAAACATCTTTGCAATAAGAAATATAATCTTTCAAGTCAAAAAAGAATAAAATACTTCAATCTGTATTAACGTCATTTAAAACTTTCAACTGGAAATTGATTCTGTACATATATATGTAGGATATGTCGCTGCTCACGTGGTTCTGACCTCCAGCTGCAGTATCTGTGTGGGTCAATAGTCCTGTTTGGCTGGAAGCCCCCCATGTTTCCCAGCCACAGCCCCCCCTTGTTACAGTCGATTGGCTAACCGGAGGGCTCAGCCGGCCTACAGTCTACAGTTTGACCCACGTACCTCCACCCTGAACCCATTGTCTTTTCACTTCATAAATATTGCGTACAATTAACTAGAACTATTGATTACTATGCTGTAATATTCAAAACATGCACTTAGATGTTGAAAATATTTCCCAAAGCTACAGTATTTTATTAACAACTGAGACGGTGTCCCTTCTCCTGTATACTGCAGCTTACATCTGGATATCTATGTACACTATCCTATCTGATGATGGGCCGTCCCATTAAAGCAGTATGAAAAGTCTGTTTCACTGTAGCTTGTCCCGAGGGCCAAAGAGTTCTTATGAAAATATACGTATAGCCTGAGTGACGCCGGTGTGGCAGACAGGGCATTTCGGCTCGTTCCTCTCACAGATACGATTGGCACATTCCATACAGAAGAGGTTGTGCCCACAGGGGACCAGGGCGGCGATAACCTCGCTCTCGAAGCACACCGAGCAGTCGCGGCTGCCTTTTCGGCTGGTGCCAGAGGAGGTGGAGGAGGAGGAGGAGGTGGAGGAGGCTGAGGAGTCGCAGGACACCCCGGGCAGGTGGGGGCCCGGCAGGGTGGCCACAGTATTGGAATAACCAGGGAAACTGAGAGGGCCCCCGCCGGGGTCACTGCGCACCCTCCTGGCTAACGGGTGCTCACCGGGGCCCCCGCTGAGGCTATGGAGGGGGGGGGAGAGTCTGGGCTGGGGGGTGCAACCGTTAACCCTTCTCTGACTCACCACGATCCCATTGGCATTAGAGGAGGAGTTGACGGGGAATATGGCTGAGGTGGAGGTGGGGGAGCTGCCTCCAGGGGAGGAGGGGGTCCTGCGGCTCTCGTACTGGGACCACTGGAGGCCCGGGGGGGTGGGCGCAGAGTCAAACCCTGAAGACGAGTCAAAAGTCAGATCAGTGCAGTCCGGCGAGATCACGTCACTCCCGTAAACAAAGCCGTTGCCGTTAGTGTTGATGTTGTTGTTATTGTTGTTGCCGTTGTTGTTGTTGGTGTAGCTGAGGGCAGGGCTGGGGGGGCTGTAGTCGGCCATGCGGGAGCTGTTGTAGTAGGAGTCTGTGGAGGCGCTGCCCAGGGAGGAGGACGAGTCGTTGCGGTAGTTGGAGAAGGGCTTACGCACCGAGGAGGGGGTCACCCCGGCGCCCGGCTTGGACCACACGGTGGGGTGCCCGTGCAGATCGAAACCTACATCTGTACCGTTGGCGTGGAAGTCATTTTCATCCTGCACCTCGATGAGGCCTCCGGTCCTCATGGCGATGTGCGCCTCGATCTCCTCCCGGGCTCGGTCCACGTTCTCCGGCATCCCCGTCACCTCGAACACCGGCTCTTTGTCCCGGCTGGGGGTCACGATGTAGGTGTGTGTCTGCTGCTGGATGCGCTTGATGGTGGCCCCTTTGGGACCTACAACTAGCCCCACCACACGGTAAGGCACCCGCACCTGGATGGTGGTCTGTCCGGGCAGGTTAGGCGGTCCTGGCACTGGGGTCCCAGTCCCGGTGGGGCTGGTGTTTTTGTTCCTGGAGGCTCGGATCATGGAGAAGTGCTCCGCGGCTGAGATGATTTCCCTCCTGGCCATGGCCACATCCTCCCTCCGGCCCGTCACCACAAACACGGGCTCCTCCCCTCGCACGGGGGTCTTTATGTAGGTGTTGGTCTTGGCTCGCAGCGCTTTGATCTTGCAACCTGAGGAATGGAACAAAACAGGAGAGTCAGGGCAGGGTCCAAAATAATAAAAGCTCAGAATATGTCATGTGTTAAACCATTGCTTATGGTGTATTTGAAACAGCTGCTGGGTGTTTGTTATTGTTTCTCAAAAGGCCAGTGGCCTCAGAAATGGGGTGAAACCGCCCTTTTGGAGAAGAACACATTCAAGCCACATGCTGCACTAACACAAACATACAGCGGGACAAAAATAACTCTCACTTCTGGATCTGTGGTGATCCCTGTTTGTTTACTACAATACAGTCAGCTTCTACATCAGCTGCTGCTGCTGCACTCTACATGCTTTTTATACACTAATAGCATTATGGAAACAGAGGAAAGCTTCTTAATCGCTTATCCTGGCAGTGACTATGATGCACTAAAGTAGCATTCCAACACCCCCGAGCACATTAACACATTATCTCTTTATGATAAAAAAAAAAAAGGGCCCGCAGAGGAAAAAGCCTTAGAAGAATGACATAATTAGTAGAGCAGCCAGCTGAGTGGGACAGTGATGTAACCAGTAAACCCACCTCACTCTACACAGTTAAATCAATGACAGAAAGTGTGTTAGTATCAAACTGTGGGTCAAATGAGGATAGGGTCTCTTTCATGGAAGTCTTAAATTAATCCCAGAGGTCACGGTTAATCTGCTGCTTAATTTCCCATTTAGAACATGATAACCTGACAAAGGGGGTGGCTGGCAGAACATCTGATGCAAATCCATCTTCTTTACAAATGTCCCACTGTAGTCGTTTTAAAGTGGAGGGTGGGGGTTTGTGGTTCCTTTGTTTTTCTGGGAACAACAACAGCAGCAGCAGTAGTGCAGGGAGGGGGAAAGATTCCGCATATGTAACTGAGCACCAGTACCGCCCTGCAGCCCTACAGCTGGAGACTGAGCCCGGGCTGCTGCCTGTGGCAAGGTAACATCGTGACAGTGGTCCTAAACTGTACAGCTCATTATCAGAATCATAAAAAAGAGCAGCTATGAGTCTACTAACAAAGAACACATCTGGAGAGCCAGTGTTTCATCTGAGCTCACATGTCCTTATTTAACAGATAATATTAAAATTGGCAGTGACAATTGCTGAAAACGTTTTGTAAGTCGCCTCTGTAATGTCATTATGACAAGAGAGATACAGTATATTACTTTCCTCACAACCCAACTTCATTCATTTTTGTTATAAATTGTATTTGTTAACATGCCTACAAAAGCAGACGCACCATTAAATTAATAGTATTTAGTATTCAATCAGAGTTATTTCAGTCTATTTTATCATTCGGCATTCATAAAATATCCCAATATGCTCCTATATTAGTTATATGATAACTTCTCTGAATTGGTGTCTGCTGCACGCTGCCGCCCACAGTTGTGTATTTATAGAGGAGGAACGGTGTGTGACTAACCGGCGAGACACTGACAAAAGTTCCCGTTTAACTGAACTGTTTACTGCCAGGTAGACAAAAGCTACTCCGAATTCACAAGTGGTATCCACACAATGAGATATGATATAATAAAAAGCTGGTTAAGTGCCTGTGCAGACAAGCGAGGCTATGTAAGGAGACTACATGCACTGATCCATGGTGTATTGGGATTCTGGACCCCCACATTGGATCAGAGCTCGGGACGTGCTCATACCTGAAGTGTGCTCAGCAGCAAAACATGACACATAGCACAACTGTTTAGAAAAAGAGAAACACACACCCTGTCTGCCAACAATCTCAGCCACATGCTCGGAGCTGGGAACCGGGACGCATTCGGTCATGTTGACGCTCTTCTTCCGGGGCTCCTGGTTGTCGTACAGCGGGTTGTCGTCGTTGTCCAAGCCGAGCAGGGAGAGCTGATCCAGGGCGATCTGCAGGGCTCTCTGGTCGTCCAGTGCATCACCCTGGACGCCGCTGTCTGCGAACAGCGAGCTGGGCATCTCTGCGGCTCTGCAGCGTTGCGGGATCCGGAGGGTAAAGAAGGAGTGATCCGGGGAGAAGGCAGGAGTGGGGAGGAGGGAGAGGCACCGGACCCGGTTACTGAAGACAGGTCAAATCAGTAGGACTAGGATGGGGGGAAAACAGTGCAAGGAGGTACAAAAAAAACATCCACCCCCTTTTGTTTTCCCGAAAGCAACTGGATGTCCCGAGCCGAGCCGGGCTGTGCTGTTGTAAGGAAAGAAGAAGAAGAAAATGTTTTATTCCAGAGCCGGCGGTGCAGATAGTAACAATATTCCTCCCTGACAAAGGGCCCCTCCCCGGCTGGCTTCCCTCAGGTCCTCTGTTGCTTCTGTCTGAGTCCAGGACAGCCAGACGGAGAGATGTGCGGGTGACGTCACCGCCTGGGCAGGGGCGATGCGGTGCTGCGAGCTCATTTGCATATCAGGGGTCTGATTGGCTGGGCGGGCAATACGTGGGTGGGGTTGGGATAGATGACGCCCCTCTCTTTGTTCTCAATCTCTCTCTTTGTCTCTCACTCCTCTGAGTCTGCTCCTCAGTAACTTCTATATTTTTTAATTGGCATAAAATGCACACTACTTATACAAACACAAGTCAAATAAAGGACATACAAACTATTATTTATTTTACAAATGAATAGATATTTTTATGGACATACAATCTGTAAACTTTCTATATTAATGTTGTTTTTGCAAACATAAAGAACATTGTTTTTATCAGCTTTATACCTCAAGACTTTTTAACTGAGGACACATTTTAAATGTCTGCTTCATAAAAAGACACATTACTTCTGTTTGGGATTGCAGAGAAGCCTATGTGTGGGATTTGTGTTGACAAAATCACTACTAGTCAGTTTAGAATAGGATTACTTGACTCAATGACTAAAAACTAATTATATAGAAAACTAGATTGACGAGAACCTACTCTAGGAGATGTCCGTACATACAGATGGATGTGTAAATGTGTCATTCATATTTAAAAAATCACAACATGCACATACACTGACATATCATCTTATTTACAATTCACAACATGGAGGTTGTGAAAAGGTATACATGCCCTGAGGGACCCCTGTAGTTAATTGACAAGGGTCAGACTCGGACCCTCTCCAAGTTACCCTGTAGGTGCGGTGACATGATGTTGCTCCATTGAAGTAAATCAATTCATCTTGAGTCAAGAATATTTTTGATTGTAAATCTTACAGAAAAACTGGAGGATTGAATATGAAAACCCATTGAAATATAAAACTATTATAAAACTTAAACTATACCGATTTTTCTTCTTAGCTCATTAAGTTGATGTTTTTTGAGACACAGTTTCAAAAAGCAATAATATAGTATTTTTTGTTCCCAAATAAATCAAATGTGTCTGTGTGCAAGCAGAAGTAAGATGACTTTGCTTTGATATCACTAAAGACTTCTGACAACATTAGATTATAGAGTTTTTTATCGACATTTATTATAAAGTGACAATCATTTCATTTTGGTAAGGTTGTGATATTCGACAGCCTTTTTGTAATAATGTTAATAATCTTCAGGTCGAGCAGAGCACTCTTCATGACAATAGCTACAGGCCGTTTGCATATGATGCCTTTCTCTCTGTAACGTGTGCTTTTATGAAGCCCTAATGTTAAGAACGCTGCAGAGTGATTGTGTGAGGCCCTTTGTGGATGGCCGTAGACCAAGACAGGCAGGAGGATGGTTGGGTGGTGGGGTGGGGGGGTGGGAGGTGCAGGGTTTGGCCAACACAAAGGGGATTTCAAGCCGATTGAAAACCGTTGAGAACAGAAGCACTTTGCTTTGTCACCTCACTCCTGGGGCTCAATACTAATGCTAATGAGGAACCGCTCAGGAACTGGAGGAGGTGATGGGATGGGACCCTCTTGTTAATATTTGACACCTCAACCCCCCTACCATCCCCCTTACAATTCCTATCGACCCTCAATCTATACAATTCTATATAGGCAGTGTTTCCCATCCCCTTTTAAATCCTGGACCAGAAATAGAAACACATTTGATACAATTTGGACACATGCAGACAATTGTTTTCAGTAAAAATGGTTACAGAGTGATTCCCCAATCTATTTTGTTTTTAAAAGCTTCATTCTGGTAAAAAAATTGCATAGAAATGTATAACCTTATCATATCAAATATTAAATTAAGGTTGAAATGCTTCAAAGTATTCTCCACCCTGCTAAATCCCTTGCTGCCCTTTGCAGGGGTCCCAACTACTGATTTAAAAGACAATAACCCTGTGATATATACATTTGTTCCACGTGGAAATGTAACTCCCGACTCCACAAGTTAATATGTAGGAGGTGGTTTTTATCACAAAATTAGTTGACAAACAGTCTCACTGCCTGTAGTTGTTCTAGAGCTTTCTTTCATATCACATAATCTTAATTAAGCCATTTCCTAAACTAATGTAGATGTTCACTGTCCATTCCTCCTGGATTGTTCGTTTTCAATTACTTGTCAATGTTTGGCTTTAAAGTAGAGGTTCATAGTTTGATGTGGTAGCTTTTGACCATTTGATTAAAGGAATTTAATCTAAACCTGAAATTTAAACTCCTTCCATTTTGCTGGAGGGCCTCCTGGAACCCGCTGAGAACCACTGAAGATGTTTTTTCAGGGCATTGGTTGCCGAACTATAAAGTAGGAATTGACAAACCTTCACAAATGTCCCATTTATTATTGTTATTTTGAATTATCCTTCTCTTTGGAAAATGAAAAATTACCCCATCTCAGCCCTAAATCCATTAAATGTAGAATCACATGATTATGTAGCTGTGGTATTTAGCCATGCTATAGTCACTTGTTCAGCCCTTGTCAAGTGTTGGTGGTATAGTGGTAAGCATAGCTGCCTTCCAAGCAGTTGATTCCCGGCCAACGCAAACTTTTCGGGAGGCAGTAGTTCAGTCTGTAGGGACAAGCCGGCTAGCCGAAAGCTGGTTCAAGTCCCAATCCTATCAAAATAATACAGAGTTCGTACTGGTAGCTGAAGAGTTGCCAGTTAACCCCTTCACCCCCTGGGATCTATCGAGGTGTCCTTGAGCAAGGCAAAATCCTTTGGCACCTCTCCATAACAGAAATGCATGTATGTATTCAGACCTAATGCGTGTAGGTCCTGTTTATTTATTGTGCTGTTTATAATAACAGCGTGAACAACTGAATTCTCCCTTGGAGATAAATAAAGGGTCTTCATCGTCTTCTTTTGCTGTGGGCTGTACCTGACCTTATCACTGTATTCCTGCCTCTGTTCCCGCGTAGAGAAATAACAGAAAGCAACTATTCTTGCTGCTTAGTTCTCCTACATACCATACTCCCATTTCACTACTTTTATACTATACTGTTTTGTTCCCTACCAAAGCTGTGTCTGCCCGATGAAATAAAGTGCCAGTGAATTGAATAAGAAGCCTGGTGTGGTGAAGTCGCCTGCAGAGTGTCCCACTGCTCTCCCTAAGCCCAGGCAGACGACCAGCGCTGCTGATATTTGTTGTTTGGTATTAGGCGTTAGCCAGCTGCTTGGAGGCGATTACCCGGCCGTATGCCTTTTAATGAGAGGAAGAAAAGCTTACCCAGAGAGCAGCGGTGACAGACAGGGCTTAGTGGTTCCTCTGCCTGTCCCTGCTGCAGGCTGCAGACACTGGGTCATGGTGCACAGCAGGTCACAGGACACACATCAGGCTGCCCGCACACATGCATGCATACTTCATAAACTTGCTGCAACATTTGAATACATTTTTTCCTTTTATGGACTCTTTAAAGCTGCAGTAGTTAAGTGGATAAGCTTATTAGCCTCATTTGATTGTTTACGTCCTGTGGTCAGCAAACTCCTCTCATTAACCTTTACTTCCTACAGCAGTTGAAGCTATGATAAAGCCCCTGAAAGCTATCTGCCCAACACCAAGAGAGCTAATCATCTCTAACGCAGAACTCTGTATGTTTTAAGCTTGTTTTCCTGGCATCAATTGGAAACTACACTGTTTTTAATTGATAAATGTTTCAAGATTTATTTATATAAATACATGTCTAAATTCAGTCATTCTGCCGACCCAGAAGTTAGCATCACAAGGACTCCATCAACAATATGCAATTGGATTTTTCTATTGGATTTTGGAATATTGCAGAAAATTAGATCTACTACTTATACTTCCACGTTTTGTTTAGCAGGATAATCTCCACATTATTAACACATCTTTAACAATTTGAAGCGGTTGCGTGGCTGTGTATCACCACCGATAAGCTAAATGCGGGTAGTGTTCACTGTAATTACTTTTAGTAGTCTCATTTAGTCATTTAGCAACCGCTTTTTTATGACACAAAGAAGCTTCGGACATTCACGAGTTGTGTATTTATTGACATCATTAATGTCATAGGAGAAAACATGAAAATATCTTCGGTTTGTGACCACAGACCTTAGACTTCTAAACAAAAACACACTTGACTTTGAGCTGGAAGTGGTGAATTGCTAACTCATTTCTGGGTTTTACGACTCATTCCTGCACCAACCTCCAGTATGTCAGAGGTGAAAGGCACAGCAAGATAGAGATGGAAAGATGCCGTGTGCTCTAGTGGTTTAGGGATTGGCTGGCACAAAGCCAACACACATAGACACACACACGCATGCACGCACGCACACACACACGCACACACACACACGCACACACACGCACACACACACGCACGCACATACACACACACGCACGCACACACGCACACACACACGCACACACACACACGCACACACACACGCACACACACACGCACACGCACACACACACGCACGCACACACACGCACACACACACACGCACATACACACACACGCACGCACACACACACACACACACACGCACACACACACACACACACACGCACACACACACACACACACACGCACACACACACGCACGCACACACACACACGCATACACACACACACACGCACGCACACACACACGCACGCATGCACGCACACACACACGCACGCACACACACACACGCACACACACACACACGCGCACGCACACGCACGCACACACACACACACACACACACGCACACACACACACACGCACCACACACCACACACACACACACCTCACCACACACACAGCCACGCACACACACACACACACGCACACACACACACACACACGCACACACACACACACAAATAAGGTGTTTTTTCCCTTGGCGTTGCGAACACTTTTGTTTAATGTTGATGAAAAAGCTGCTGGTCTGTGATCCAGATTCAAGGTGAGACAAAGGAAAATGGGATACTTTGGTTTGAGTTTGTTGCATTTTTAC